AGTATTCTTAATTACAGGGAAAACTCAAGAAAACACACCGGTGGAGGGGGGGGGGGGTTAACTGTTACATGTATACAGTAACAGTTTTTGTTGTGTTCTATTTTGTTTATTCAGTGCAAAATAATCGTAGAGTCCGGAAATTTCACTGAGTACTCATTTAGGTATAGTTGGTCTCTTTCTTATATACAGCTCATCCTAGACATGATACGATTTTAAAATCATTCTAGAAATTGTTGTCATTTGAAATTTTCTAGTTTTTAGAATTTTATTTAAGTTTTTGTGATTTAAATATTGTTTTGGTTAATTGCAATAAGTAGAAAACAAGTTTAACGTAATGTAATAGATAGTGTTTTTTTTAAAAGAGCTTTAAGTTCAAATTGGAATGCAAATGCATTTTGATAAAAATGCAAAATATGTACCGTCTCATTAACGGTGGATATTGGGATTGTTTAAGTGGTATTTTAATAAAACACTATGTATATTATGTAAACAGTTGTAGAATATAAAAACTATGTAAAAAAACACGGCCCACAAGAGGTGGGTAATCGTCTTGTCAATTCTTCTCTTGTAGCCATTATTGTGTCCCATACATTTCACTTTAAACATATTGAAGAGAAACACTTAAATTTAAAAAAAATGAGTTAAGGTAAGTACTCCGTCTCACTCAATTCGAGTATTGATTGATCCACCCATAATCATAATTTACAGCAATTTATGTCATCTTCAAAGTGATTAATATAAAAACCACAATATACGAAGGCGTGGTTTTTGTCCTAAAATTTGGTATAGTTCAGTGGTGTGAGTAGGGAAAAAGAGCAAGTGAAAAAAAAATTATTGAAAAAAGCAAGTAAAAAATCAAATGAAAAAAATGTATTATCTAAATATTTGTACTCGAAATAAGAACAGTTGGAAAAAAGAAATTTGGATTTAAACGAGTATAATTTATAATTTATAATTATTTATTTTTAAAAATCAATAGATACATTATATTATTGTAAGTTTTTATATAATAATATTATAAAGCTGAAGAGTTTGTTTGTTTAGTTGAACGCGATATTTCAGAAACTACTGGTTCAAATTGAATATTTACTTTTTCGTTGGATAGTCCATTTATCGTGGAAGGTTTATAGCTATTGACCTCCATTCTCTATTGTAAACCATCCTCCAAAATTCGGTTTTAGGGATTGTTACTTATTTTTTTGGATTACCTTAGTAACACAGATGAAATGAAAAGAAAATTTAAAATGTTGGTTAAAACGTACCTATGGTAATTAATATTAATAAAAATAATTATAAAATCTATGTACTATACTATGCAATAAAACTGTAAATATATCTACTAAGACCTTGAGTTGGTTTCAGGAAAGAACAATTTTAAGCAAATCAATCAAATAAACGATATGGTACTGTTAAGATTCAATGCACCAACAAAAATGTACTATTCAGTGGATACTGTTATTGATAGAGAGGAGGTGGTGGAGTCCCTGGAAGGATTAAAGAATTTAAAAATTCAGTTGAATTCTTTAACTCCTCCAGGGACTCCACCGCATAAACTAATTTTAAAGGTAGATTCTCCTATAATATTATTCCGGAACTTATATCCACCAAAATTATGTAACGGCACAAGATTTCAAATAAAATCTTTAAAAAACTATCTACTTGAGTGTGTGATTCTTACTGGCTGTGGAGCCGGGGAAACGGTTTTGGTTTATCGAATACAAATAATACCAACCAATCTACCATTTCCGTTTAAACGATTCCAATTTGTCGTGAAATTATTATATGTTTTTCAATGACCATCAATACGGCACAAGGTCAAACATTAAAATATGTTTCAGGTTTAGACCTAACCGTCCAATGTTTTTCCCCCGGTCAATTGTATGTGGATCTATTACGTGTCAAACGCAAAAATAATGTATTCGTGCTGACCCCAGAAGGTTAGACACTTAACGTGGTGTATCTAGAAATATTTAATGCTTAAAACAAATAGTAATTTAAAATTTAAAAATATAGGCCATAACAGAATATATATAATCCACCGAAGGTGTATTACCCAATTTTCGCCTATTTGATTTTATTACTGACACGTTTAAAACCTGTATATAACACGTAACATAACAATCAACTAAAATTTACTTCAGAAGTATTTCCCATGGCCATCAGTATATTGGCAAGTGAAGATCGTAAATAATTCTTAGAAATACTATTAATAACTAAAAAACAGCTATTATTTCTAGTAGATTTAATATTTATTCGAAAATTTAATTGTGACAACAAATAAGGACAATCTATGGAATTATTTAATAATTTTGATAAAAATGTATAGTGAAGGTAATCTCTTCTTTTATTTAATGATTCTAAATTAAAATATGATAAGACACCATTATATTCAGTATGTCGTAAACGTTCAATTTTAAATTTAAATGATAGAAAACGATTTTGAACTGCTTTGAGATTTTGAGTCGTACAAATTTTATCTGAGAACCAAATAAAAGAAGCATTCTAATTGTGATTTCACAAATGCAAAATATAAATTTCTTAAAGCATCGTATTTATTAAAATTAAAACATGTATAACTTACGTGTAATAAAACCTAAATATAAAAAGGCTTTATTTGTTATTATCTTAATACGACTGTTGAAACATAGCTTACAATCAAAAGTAATACCTAAGTCGACAAATAATTTAACTGACTCTATAGAGATATTATTTAGTTTATAATCATAATTAATGTTTGGTTTTTTGATACAGAAAGTAATACTTTGCATTTATAGATGTTACGACATAACCCATTTAAATTATACTAGTTATTAAAATTTGTTAAGTCTTCTTGTAAATGAATGCAATCATGGATTGAATCTATCGTTTTAAATATTTTGGCATCACCAGCCAACAATAGAATATTAGAGTGTTTCATAACCGATTGAATATCATTTATAAATACATTCACTTGCTTCAATTATTCCATATTGATCGGATTCACATTGTAAATAACGGTACTTGGAAATTTAAAATTTCTCAATTGTAAGATGTTTTACTGACTTTTTTTTGATTAAATATTCCATTGTATTTATATTTTTAATATAAAAGTATGGAAACCAATTTTAGTAATCAAATATGATGCTATTATCAACTAAGAATACTGAAAACTTGTATGGATTGTTTGAAGATCTTAAAATTAGTTCTACATAATCCTCTAAAAGGAAGAGTCTATTAACTCTATTTTTTTTTTTAATTAGGCAAAATCACGATCACACGATAAAAATGAATATCCTCTTTGTGAAAAAAATGCTTCGACTTTTATGAATTTTTTTAATTCAACAAGAGCCATTTTAATTAAGGCATAGTTCTTATTCTGTCCTGAACAATTGTCACAAAATAAATATAACTCTTCTACATCTTTATCAACAAAATTATTGATGTAATGCATCAAAAAAGAGCACACATCACTAGGGGTTTTTCTGGCTGTTGCTTCATGATAAAGATAACAAAATAAATTATTTTTGTTTAAATTAGGAATTCTAAATATATTAACTAGTAGTTGGCGGTAATAATAAACTTCCTGTACTGGTATCCTGGGTAAGTCACCTACAGCCATCAAATAAAAAACAAATACCTAACACTTTTTTATTTTGATGTGAATTCTGATTTTTTACTTCTATGTTTATGAACTAGTAGTTCTGCAGTAGCTACTCTTTTTTTGTGTTATTTAAATCCTTATTTATTTTTTTTGTATTCTGTTCTTTATATTTCGAACAAGCATCTTTAACTGTAGCAACGAAGTTTAATGAAAAATTATTTTTAAAATACTCTAAATAAAATTTATAGTTTATTTTACTTTTCAATTCTAAATATTTTTCATAATATGATGAAGTATTTTTTGCTATACTATGGTTGTATAACATTTCTTTTTATATATTTACCTCTTTAATCAACCAGTGTAATGTTATTTTCTAATAAAAAACTAACTGTCTAATTCTTTTTTCAGAAATATTATGTACTTTAATAAAAGCTGTTCTTTTACACACACAAAGACGTTGGCGGTTTACTATTAAAAAATACTGTACACTTTTAGATTTTGATTTTGATTTTTCTTCTTATGTTTCTACCCATTTACGTTTTCTAGTAATCATTTTGATTTAAATTTAAACGCTGTAGGTGAATATTTTGTTAATTTTTCGTTTCTAATTCATAAAACATTTTCATTACATTTTCTAGGTGTTCTTTTTGAATACTTTCAAGGCATTATTTGAAACAACAACTGAAAATCTATTAATATAGTTCCTATTATATTAAAATATTATACAAATTATTTTGAAGTTTAAAATATTAAATACTTTACAATAAATTATTTAACAACAATTTTTTAAAACAAATTAAGCATTTACCTTTTAGTGATTGTTGAAGGATCATTCTTTGCAGCTATTAAAATACCAACCTAATTTGTATGTTCTTTCCCAGATATTTTCGCTTGCTTACTAATATTTTTTTTGTATGATTTTTTATTAACATAAGCTTTTTTTCTCTTCTGAGGGCTCCCCATGTCATTGTCCGAATTCATAATTTTAATATTACGATTTACGAATATAAATCAACACACATAATTAGGTACATTGTGTCACTGATATTATTTAGTTTAATAAATAACAGTATAGAACTAAACAATATTAATAGTATCCATTTGAGAACCAGTTAAACAAATCTCAATAATTTTGTGTTTAAATATAAAAATGAAATTGTTTTGAATTTTGTGTGTATTATAATCATACATTAAACATTTTTTACTATTTTAGAGCCCTAATTATATAAAAGTTAAAATATTTATCATTTTTAAAAACTATAAATGTGTATTCATTTTTATATTTTAGCAAGTTCATCTATAATAAAATCGATATCCACGTTGATATTGCTATGAATATATTTTATTGAGGCTATACCATTTAAACGTATTTGTCCTGAAGAATTTCTCAAATATGTTTTCAACGGAGTGTTGAAAACGATCATTCCCCGTGGCAATAGATACTGGAAGTGATGAATATTTGAAGAAGTTTAGATATTACTAGATAATCATCTGGACTAATTTGAAAGTATACTTTAATAGTATTTTTGTTCTTGAGTTCAAAAGATGTTAAATTTGAATATTTGGTGTACCATAAATCTAATTCTCCGTTTAATATATGATCATTTAAATTTGAATCGTTACATTTATCAATTATAACTTGATATGTTTCTACTAATTGTTTGAATTTACCTTTAATATCTTCAGATATTTTCATTTCTATCTTAGGTAAAATACAATGAAAATTATTCAAAACAATCATGTGCGATATAAATCTTTCGTTCTATTGGTCTAAACAAATACCTATAAAAGGTATGAATACTTAAAAAAATATTCTGGATCATCTGATTTAGATTGACGTGGCAAACTAACAGTAATATCAAATTTTTTGCAGAAAGTTATTAAGGATAAAAAATAATCATTGAAACCTTACATAACAATTTTCTATAATATCCTGAATATTATTTTGAACATAGCAGCTTCTAATACAGTATTCAAATCAAAATTAACTGTTTGAAGATATCGGTTAAGTGGAAAATTTATGGAAAGTATTTTCACTAAAATACATAAAGCTGTTTAAAATTTTAACTGTTTTATCACAATAAAAAGATGATTTGCAAAACTAGAAGTGTCAGAATTTGTCTAAAGTGTAATTGTATTAAGTGCATGTAAAATGACTGGTTGAAGTTCTTCAAATAATATAACTGCATCTTGGCGATCGACCCATCGAGTTGCACATAAGTTGTTTAGTTTAAAACTATTAGTCTGTGGATATACTTCTTCTATTGACAATTGCAAAATACTTTGTCTTTTTGGATAACCGAAAGCAATACTGATAACCATAGAGCTATATATTATTATAATATACACACTACACTGGACTGGATTTGTATATAATTAATTTGTATTATTTGTGTAAACTGTTACGTGTAATAACACTTTATTATTTTTTCAAACTCTTAGTATTTTTTTTTATTTCAAAAACATTTCGAGTAGGGGGGTAACAACCCCCAAACACTCTCTGGATACGCCACTGGTAGATCGTCCTTTACGAAAGCCATGCTGAACGTTAAAAAAGATACGGTATATTGGCTTATTAATTAAATTCAAACATTTTTTAGGCAGTATGGAAATCTTTGAAATAGGGCGATAATTTGTCAAAAAAGAACGTTCATATTTTTTAAAGATTGGAGAGCTATATAAAGTTTTCCAAGTGAACCAAAACACACCCAACTCTAATGATAATTAAAAACAAAAGTTAAAGGAGTTGATTGAAAAAGTAAAATTCGTATAAAAAAGGACTGATAAATTATCAGTCGAAAAAAGACCATCGCTAAATTTGATTTTAAATTACCGAGTTGATCTAGGACCTCTGTAAGTGATATCTTGATATTATTAATACAGAAAGGACATTCAACAGTTTGATCCATTAGTGTCGTATTTTATAAGGGTTATTTATATGCACTTAAAAAAAATTTACCAAAAAGATCAACTATATCTTGTCTTTTATTGACATTAACATTATTATAATTAACGTTATTCGAAAATGTGTTTTTTGATTTTTAAATCAAAAAGCATTTAGCTTTTAAGAAAAGCTTTTATATCATTTAGATATAATTTCTTTTCTTTAATAATACAATTTTATTCATGACTAAACCATTAAAGGGAAATTGGAATGATTAGATAATGTAAATGTTGGAACACAATCATTTATTATTGAAAAAAATGTTTGAATAAAATAAACTTATATTAGAATTTATATTGTTATTCTGATAGATACTGTTCCAATTAATTAATATTCCAATTAATATTTTAGTAATATTTAGTTTATAATTTGCTTTATTCCAGTCATGCATAGTTTCATAATGGGTTAAGTTATTAAAACAATGATAAGGTGAAGAATATTTAATAATAAGTGGAGAGGGATGTAAATTAACATTTACAATAGGTAAATTACTAAATAATACAGTACAATAATTAGAGTTTGTTAAGACATAATCGAGCAAAATATTATTCTTATTAAAACATTATTAATTTGTTTAAAATTTAAAAACGACAAATTGTTAAATATATGCAATATATACTATGGAGTGTAAAAAAATATGTAGGTACCTCTGGTACCTATAAAAATTTTATTTAAAACGTATATGATATACTTTTGTTTTTAAGAAAATTTCGATATGATTATTATCTATAATTTTTGTTATCTACAATCTATGTGCGATTTGGAAATACAAATTATCGTATAGTCATTAACCAAAGTTTAGCGATAACGACGTCGGCGGCCGGTGCATGCTATACGAGTACACAATATGTTATAGCCATAGGTTTATTTTACGTTGATTTTTATATATTTTGTAATTACACTACAATCTTATATTTTATATTATCTAGATAATCAACAAAATTGGTAATCTGATGAATTATCATAAATGAAAAATTGTGTTAGATAACGCGAAATCATTCCACCCAAAATCATACAGAAATCATTTAGGTACCAATGGTCATTCTGTTGTTTATAATCGTATTCCGTACTGGACCGCGCGCATTCTAATGCGCGTGCGTACAGTCCACGTTGATACTAGTTGCACCAGCCAGTTATCCACATGCCGCACGGGGCAGTTTTGGAGTGAACGTGTTTGTGTTCAGTTCATGTTCGAGTCCGTTCGGTGATATATGCGTCGTACGTGCGTGCCATTTGAAATACACAAATCATATCATTTTTTTTTTTTTTTTATTTAAATGTTTGACGTGAGGTAGAAATATTAACGGCAGCTAATATTAAAATTATATCAATATATATTAATTATATTGATGATAAAGTATAAGGTATTCTAATACATAGTAGGAGGCACCGTAGAACGCGAAAAAACTGATGTTGTTAATAGTATTATAATAATTATTACTATAACTTCTATTTCTAAATCCATCCATCGGTCTTCGTCCATATATACGCAACAGGTAGGTACACGTACATACGCTGCCTTGATTAGTGTAAGCCGGTCAACGCTAATCGAACGAGCCGACTAACTACAAGACGTTATGTCATACAATATGAAAATATACAGCGGGAACAAAACAATGAGTACCAGGTAGATATTAAGATTCTACGGTTGGGTGGTCCAAGTAGCCTAGTTTCGGGCGTAGCCATGGATATCAGCAGCGAACCAGTGATCCGGGTATTCCCGGATTCAGAGGCGAACTTACTGGCGCTGTTCGATTCAGTGTTGAATCCAAACAGTAAGACACCCCAACAACTACCGTTTCGCATGCGCCAGCTACCTAATTCATTTTTCATACCACCAGTCACCGGATCTAAATCACACAGTCTTAAAAACTCAGGTGACTTAGTTTCGGGCCAAACGGCAGTAGCCGTCGGTGGTAGAAAAATGACGGGCGTGACCGGCAAAAAATCCATTCTGTTACACTCGCGCTCGAGTAGCTCGTCGGCTTCGCTGCAGGAACCATATACAGTCGAGACGGCCAAGCAAAGGCAGGCGCGCCATGCCAGGCGAAGAAGATACCACAAGTCTCGCGCCATTAACGAGTTGGGACCACTGCCGCAGGGATGGGAACAGGCTCGTACGAAGGAGGGTCTGATTTATTTTTTGAATCATCACACTAAAAAAACTCAATGGGAAGACCCGAGAAAGAGTTTGACCACCCAGACGGTGAACGAACACCAGCGCAGCGCCGAACAATTGCTGAATCCCGATAATATTAGCAAATCAAATACTTGTACCATAACCAATGAACCTACGAACTCGCAACAACATATGTATTTAACACTCCAAGGAAGGAACAAAACTAAGGCAGTAGGACGGTTGCCCGATGGGTGCAAACAATACCTAGCCCTGGACGACAAGACTCGCCAATTCGAAAAAAAACCGCCCGTGGATTTGCAAAAGGCTCCAACCTCGGATGCTGTGTTGCTTTCCGGATTGACATTATGGCTGTTGAACGACGAAGACGGTGATTCTAATCTGTCAAAAGCACTATTAGTTACCGGGAAAACGCTCATGTTCAATTCGCTCAAGATGGAGCACATTGAATCAAATAAAAATAAAGAGGAAACCATCAGCTCTGGACAGACGACCAATGACCTTGATTCGCTTCCATCAGCAGGTCATTCGCAACAAGAATCGGCAGACAGCGGTTCGGACTTCAGCAACAATTACTCCCTGCTCAACACACCAAAAGATATTATGTCGGCCAATATGGAAAACTACATGACCTCCACTTCAGTCGAAAATCCGGGTTCATCGAACATTTCGGTGGATAATTCGCAAGAAATTGATACGTTAGATGACACTGATGACTTAGTCCCATCACTTGAGTTAGAAGAAGGTTTATCCAATGAAATACTAGACGAAGTTAAATTGTTAATCAATTCTGATGAACAACCGGAATCAATTTTGACTTGGCTATGAAAGGTATGATTTGTTCTTTTTAGATTCTAAGCGAAGATACGTAGCGAATAATGTATTGGTTTTACAGAGATGTTTATTTTTTTATATTTATATACTGTGTACAAACATTCTGCCAGAAATCTTGCTCAGATATATAGGCGTGGCACCATTTCTGAAAGGGAATGTTATCTAGGAGGTACTTTTAGGAGATCACTTTTTTATTTTCCAATCAGTTTTCATAATACCTGGGAAAAACGAGGACAAAACGTAAGAAAACAGGAAATTTACAAAAATAATGCCGTAATAATTATTTCAATTTTGTTATTTATTGTTAGTCAGTTAAAAATATTCGTAGAAGCTTTAAATTTGGGCGAAAAACTTATATTTGCTTCTTCTAGACATGGTAAAATTTTCAAAAAATTTAAGCCATTTTTGAGCTATTTATAGACATTTAAATTTTGCTAGTATTATACGTAATTTTTATTCGGTAAGTACTGTGTGGTAAAATTGTTAGACTAAACAGAAATGCGTGAAAATTTATTAGGAGGTTCATTAAAAGTATTACTTAATGGTTAAAAAAAAAAATCAAGTATAATGTAGTATTTTTTTTGTAAAGGAATTTTCATAACAAACTTTGACGAAAAGCGTTTGAGTAAAAAGTTATGTGGAAAAAATCTAATTTTTCAATTTTTTTTTATTTTTTTTATGTTATATTATGTATATTGCCGATTGAAGAACGATGGTGAAGTCAAAATTAAGCGAACTGACTAAATGTCGAATTTATAGCTTTTTGAAATTCTGATATTAGGCAGATATTATATTTTATATTAAAAACCCCATATTATTTTTCTTAAAAAATATTCGTCGTGATCTAATGGTTATACATGTCTATTATCATTCTAGGGATCCCGAGATTTTTTGCATTTTTCCCCCTTTTTGCCAAAACGGAAAAAAATTATGATCAACCATGTTCCATGGAAGATTAAACTTACTCAATAATATTATCAATTGATAATAAAATAACTAATGGTTTAAATAAGTTCTTTGCTAATTTTGCTTCAATCAATTACAAAAATATTAAATTTTAAATTATTTATAGATGTCTATATTATACTCATATTTAAATAACGTTATCTAATGATCATACAAATATTAATTATTTTTTCTATTTTAATTTATCATATTGTTACAAAAATGTTTAAAAATATCATAATACCTTACAAATTTAAAAACACTTAAATAATTAATTAACGAGGAAAGGGTAAATATTTTTAATTCACTATTTCTGAATTCTAAAGACATGGTTGATTAATTACATTTTTAATGTACCACCAAATGTGGAAAACATGAGAAAACTAGAATTTTTTTAGGTTTCCTAAAATGTGTAGATGTTGTTAATTTCATATAATTCATGATTTAAATAAATTCTTCATATTGTAATTTTACAAAAATGTTTTTGGCAGCTTTGTTATCGCTTATAATTTTAACAGTACAGAAAACATTAACACGCCTATAAACAATATAATATTGGTAATATAATATCTACTACGGAATAAAGATAGTTTTGCTAAATCAAAGCGTAGAAGATAATATCATTAATGTACTAAACAAAGTATATATTATCGGGGTGAACCTGTTTATATTAATGTTTATATTTAATTTGTGCAATTAACGACAACAATATCGAATCTAAAATTTCGTAATTATTTTTTTTTTTTTTACTCTAGTATGTATTATGATTATATATTTATTTGCATTTTTATAATACTAGTTGTTGCGTTGTATTATTGTTTAAATGCCAGGACATACGTACATACTCGTAATAAAATACCTCTAATTATAGGTAAATAACAAGTATTGTTGATTTGTTATTACTTATATAATTTTGTTTTAACTTATTATGTTTATTATACTATAGATAATATAATATTGTTTGTTCTAATAATGAACTTATTAAGTAGGTAGGTAATTTTTGTATAAATATTTACATCTAATTGAGGAATAACATTTAAATGAGAATGAGACAATTTATTTATCAAAAAAATATGTTAGTTGTACAAACTCATTAGTCCGAAACGACAATTTTAACGTCAATTTTAAAAATATTCGTTCGCTTTAAAACATAATTTTAAAACATCATATTATATGGTTAGAAACTGAAGATTTACTCGGAATTGTAGATTTTTTTTTCACTCTAATTTATAATACTAACATACAAAAATCCGTATCCATATAACTCAAAAAGGTTGCCTACAGGTTATAAAAAATACTGTTATATTTTGTTTCCCTGCGGGGGTGCGGGTAAGAAAGTGTATAATGCAGCTATCTGTATTGTAATGGCGAGGTCCTTGAATGTAAACGGCATATAATAATGATGTTATAATATGTATATGGTTTGGCGGGAACGAGCATTCTTACTCTTCAGACATCTGAATATACGCAGTTTAAATTTCCACCCCTCGATGTAAAGATATCATCGGGTAGGGTCGAATACACAGTGGTCATTTTTTTTTTTTTTATTATTATTTTGGTATACATGGAATAACGTTTATGCGACGGTCGATATCGGATAATACCTACGTATAGACGCCAACGACGGAATTTTAATGGATTTTTGTCTGCACGTTTACCTAAACCAAAATGGTCGTCGAACAATTAACAATAAAAAACCCATATATATATTAACTATAATACAATATTATTTTAAACTTGTAGTGCGTGTCTATAACAAGATAATTATACACCTATATATTCTGTGTACTAAATGGTATTTTATATTTTGGAAACGGTCAATTGTTTTTTTTTTTTTTTTTTTACATAGGTACGCTGATTTTGATAAAAAAAAAGAAAAAAAGTAACGATAAATCATCGCTAATGAAAAACGATTCTGAGCAAAATTCGATTATATATTTACTGAAATTCATCTTAAAAACGTCATCTTAAACACTTCTAAAAAAACTACTGTATAACGCTGAATTTTTCTTTTCACCATAAACTACAACTTCTAAAGAATTCCGTATTCAATTAGCATACATTTTAAAACAATGGTATCCATGTAATAGCTTCCAACTATAAAATGAAAAATTAAAAAATTACGATCTTAACGTACACACGAGATCCAAAATTTAACCAAAAAGGTCTCTTGTTATTTTTTCATTGAAGCAAGGTTTCTGGTAGAAAAATGATCAACAGATAGAAAAAATTCGTGCACGTTAAACCAACACATTTCTCGCTAAGTTCAAAATTAAGTTGTTTTTTTTCCGGTTTAGCCAGTGTAGTCCAGAAACAGATATTGGTAGTATTCCTAATAAAGTTTTCTGTATATTTAAAAAAAAAATTGTATTCAGGTATTCAGTATTTAAAGTTGTACTAAACGAATAATTTTAAAAAGTATTTTATTTCTTAAAAAAAACATTTTGTCACTCTCATTTGAGAGTGTTTAATGTTGTAGGTACTATAGAATATTCACTTGGTGGTACTTGATTGATTTTGAAATTTCCAACAGTTCATACTCCTCCGCAATCACTCTTTATTTTACATTTTTTGCTCAAAAAGAATGATTTTCAGTTAGTGCTCACCCACCCAAACTATTTTTTTTATCATTGATGTTAAAATATTACTAATACTTTAGTAAATTATTCGATATATTTTGAAAATACTATGTATTGTTGCCAAGTATTCAAATCTATATTTGGAATACTTTCAAAAAGCATTTTACCAAGTCTACCCAAAATTATCAAAAATAAAAACCTTTATATTATCATTTGTTATGAGTTTTATTATTTTTGTAAAAACTGTAAGAAATCTACAATTTGTTTTCAAATTTAGTACTGAGTACTAAATTCGCAAAAATTTCGCATCCTGTAAAGTATAATATGAACCGAAAAACTACTTTCCGGGGGGGGTGAGTGGGAGGAATTAATAATAAACTGTTCAAAATAAAAAAAAAAAATAATTTAAATAAAGTATCGTCGTGGCGGTCGAAAATGTCGAGTCTTTTAAAAAACCATCCAACTCAAAAAGTCAATAATTATTTTATTAACATAATAAATAAAATACAGTCTTACTAGCATAATGATACAACTGAAATTTGTTAGTGATTATCCGTTCGCTAATTACGATGATTTTTAACATTGCGCGTGACATCGCGGACTTGTTCATCGCCATGGAGACCATAATATCATAAAATATTATCGTGTATAGTAACGGGTAAAAATATCCTGATCTATAATATCCGAAGAAAAAATATAAAGGTAGAAAATAAATCTGAGGGAAAAATAACCGAGGAAAAAATATAAAGGTAGATAATAAACCTGAGGTAAAAATAACCAAGGAAAAAATATCAAGGTAAAAAATAAATCCCAGGAAAAAAATCAAAGTATAAATGTATAATAATCAATAAATAATCATGTTGTTATTCACATACATATCCATATACATTTGGAGTAATTTTTGACTACTCAATTACAATTTAGTTAATAATACAATATCCTGAAGACAATAAGAGATTTTTAAAATATTATTATTTTATATTTTATTACTGGGTAATATTTTTTTAATTTTTATTATTATTATTATAATATATACTCTCAGATATTGTTTTGATATTTTTGCTGACGAGTGTGATTTTTAAATATTGTACGAGGGTTGTCCCAAAAGTAATGCACAGCGCGCTCTAGCTTTCTTGCAATGTGATATTATCAGCTGATTTTAATATAACTTGAAAGTCTAACGAACACGTGCGTTTTCAGTTTTAGTTGTTTTAGTAAAGTATGATGATGTGTGAGAGCGATAACGAAAGTGAGAACAATTCGTCGGCTCACATTTCTGTTTTTGAGCAACGCGCATACATTAAAATCGAAACGATTCGTGGTAAAACAGTGCCTGAAATTCATGCCGCGTTAAATGAAGTGTGTGGAACGGATACTGTGGATCGTAGTACGGTGCAAAGATGGCATCAGCGATTCCGTGATGGTCGTATAAGTATTGATAATAACCCTCGCTCTGGCCGACCATCTACGGTTACTTTTTACTTANGTAAAAAGCGACCAGGAATGTTACAAAATGGTGTGTCCATATTGCACGATAATGCGCGGCCGCATATCGGAGCACCAGTCGTCGCTCTTTTGGAGAAATATGGATGGGAACGCTTCAAACACCCACCGTATCCGCCGGATTTAAGTCCTCTGGACTTTGATTTATTTCCAAAACTGAAGGAACCACTTAGAGGGATCCGTTTTCCCAACTTAGATATACTAAATGAAGAAGTGAGCCGAAGGATCCGTGAACTCAACAAATATGGCGTCCTATGCGGCATTCAAGCGCTCCCGAAACGATGGCAATCGTGTATAGACAAGCAGGGAGATTATATCGAAGGTCTATAATATTGTATTTAGTTTAAAATAAAAACATATTTATTCAGAGCAAATTGTGCATTACTTTTGGGACAAACCTCGTATTATCAACTAATTTCTAACTGTAAGTTTAATCTAATTTAATACACGGATTACAATATAATCTGTGTATTATATTAGATGGCCGCCGCAACGGCCAACGAATCCATGACATCACGCGCAATATTAAAAACTGCCGTTATTAGCGAACGGGTTCTTCTCGTCATATTATGTACTATAATTTACATCAAAAAAAATTGTTTGGGTTGGATGGTCCTTTAAGGTACAGGTACAGGTTCATAAGTGTATACAAAATTTGATCGTTTTTTTACAAACCGAAAAGAAAAAAAACATCTATCTTATGAGTTATGAGTAGTGTTATGGTAAAAGAATAAATCGAATAGGTTTTTCGCTACTTGTATACAAATAATTTAAATTTTTATGGGTTAATATAATACATTATAATATAACGTATTTACGTGGTACGCGATCAAAGCGAGCAATTTTACTATTCCATTTTCAATATTCGTTTTACGTCCCGTGAACAAATCGTTAAGGACGCATTATACCTATCTTTTATTATTTTTAATCGTTTATTTAATTATTTCTATGGCCGACAAATAGTTTTGTTAAAATTGAATGAAAAGGAGATTTATTTATAAGGTAAATAACATTAGGTATGTGTACTACTTTTTCGAACCGTATAGTATTGGCTTCTCTTATTTTCTTTTCTTTATCCGTTTCCAGTTATCGACCAAAACTATGTACATTTAAGCACTATGTGTTTACGCCATTTATGTCTGAATAAAAATATATAATAAGTCGTCCGGTCATCCGGTGGGCATCAAGAACGCATTGTAAATTGATCCCGGTACAAAAAATATATAACCTTTACACACCCAAATATATAATACCGCACCTCCTGTCGCGCATCTTATAACAAAAGTACCCGAGCCGATCGGTATTAAATTAAATTAAAGAAAAAAAAAAAAACTGTCGTCCTTTTGAATTAAAACGATTTCGAATTTCGAAGACCACACGTGCATTGTACACGACCGGTTTTCTTTTCTACTGAAAAACGGGAATTTTAATGTAGGTATCGAAGTATTTGTATGGACATGTGTATAACACGCCTAAAGTATTTTGTTTAATAGGACAAATAGTTCTGACCCGGGTTGGACGAGACAAGGTAGGGGATTAGATGACCCGAGGTTTTATTCTCATTTTTATATTGCCCTTTTTTGAAATAAATTCAATTTTATTTAAACATACGTGCACATTGTAAACGGTTATTACAGCAGAAGAGAGAAACTAATTTTATCAAAAAATTATAAGTTTTCCTTTTTAAATGAAACTATAACATGATTTATAGAATTTAAATTATATAGAACCATGTTAGCGTTTAGGTACACAAAAAATGGCTTGAACTTTATTAAGCAATACAATATCAATTTTTCTCTTACTACTAATTAGGTACTTCAACTACATTACACATATCAATATTTTTTAATTATTAAATTAGTGTAAATATTTAACATTGTATGATATTAGAAATAAAAAATAATCAAATTATACTAAAAATTCATTGGCGCGTCATAATTATTAAGACTATAGATTAATATAACAGTGGTTTTCAACCTGCGCGGCGCGGCTCCCGTGGACGTCTTGGTTTAGTATCAAGGGCGCCGTGTCTATAGTAAATATAATAAAGTAATACAGTAGATTTATTTATTGGTCTATAATCTACCTAGTATTACTTAAATATATGTCTTATTAAAGTAATGTATTTTATTAATAACCATTGCATTAGATTAGTCGTATTAATTAACATGTTATTTTTAACACATTTTAAGATAAATAACTAATCATTTTACTGTATATTGAATGATAAATTTAACTTATATTGTGGTATATGATAGATAAATCATAACTCTTATGATAATATAGTTTATTCGGTTCAAACATGTTTGTATACCTATTATTTTTATTGCATTTTAACTAATGAAATATTTAATAGTAATTAATACTCAATACATTTTCATTTTTTTTTTTTTTTTTTAATTAATAATAATTCTTAAAATATTATAAATTACACGATTTATAGACGCTCTGTGATGTAAGATCCTTATTATTTAAAATTACTAAGTAATATTATATATTGAAGCAAATTAGGTGTATTGAGAAATTATAATTTATTAAAAATCCATAACTATTAAAATTAAATTCCTTACTTACTTAAAACTACTACTATAAACTAAGCTATTTTTGTATAACACAATTTAATCTATTTTCAAGCAATAATCTATTGATTGTATGTATTTTTTTTTTTTTTAATTTTTGTTTTAGATATTTATATATGAAAAACCACAATACATCTACGGCTGTAGAAGAAACACCATTTACAATATTCAAATATGCTGAAAAATTACGTAAAATAAATAGGTACTACATCAGCTCAATTAAAAGGTATTAAAGAATTTTTTAATACTTTTATAATATGTATATGTCGACTTATAATTGTAAATGTTTATACATTTTTATATTCATTTTATTATATATTTAAAACGAATAAATATTATATAAATAATTAACATATTTCAATAATGTTAAAATTTATTTATCATTAGTTGAAAAATTAATCATTATATAACAAATTAAATATACGTTTTAAAACATTTTAATAAAATTAATTGTAGTTTATAGTTTCATTTAATCTCCCCATCATATGTATAGCTGAATGTAATACTGGAACAAGCAATATGAGCGTATGTAACGTGCGTATAACAAATTAGTAGAATCGAGACCATAGTATACAATAATAATAGGGAAAATAATACGAATTTGAATAATATAATGATAACGATTGTAATAAACATTAATAATAAAAATTTTGTCTTATAATAAAATAATAGGAGTACAAAAAAATAAAAATAAAAATAATAGCGTTATTTAAACAACAATTATTATTATTCATATTATTACAATAAAATCTATAGGCACCAACGATTATAATAGATAAAATATAAAAACCGAGTAGAATAAAAGATTATAAAAGACATTTAAGGCTCAAAACCATACAAATGTGAACAAATATAATCTTAAAAAATCGTAATACAATTATCTAACACGCATAAAGCCTTGGTTTAATGCAATCACGCGTCCGTGAATGCGTGGTGTGCAATACGTAATCGCACAAAATTTTAGATATGTTAAACAATAATAGTGTTTTCTTATAATTCACGCGCGGGATTGATGAGTCAAGCTTGTGAATCACGTCCTGTTAGCCGAACGGCGAAATTTGCGTGACACGCACAGGATGAAAAAAGAAAAATTACGAGAGCTCATAATAAAAAAAAAAATTATAGGCGAAGTTTCCCGTAAAAATGTTTTGGTCCCTCCAGGGTCCGTGGTTGCTAGTTGTTATAATAATAATATTATTATTTATGTACATATATATATATATATATAAGGTATACACAATATACATACTCCAAGATAACCATTGCTAACGAAAAGCAATTAGAAACTAAGTTCAGTAAAAAAATATTTTAAAATGGCGACATGTTTATGATTTTTGTCAAAATTTGATCTCAAAATGATAATAAAACAAAAACTAATACATTAAACTCAAATTTGTTTTTTGTACCACTAAATATAACTTATAATGTGCTTATTTGTATTACATTTTTAAGCATTTCTCTTAAATCTTATAATTTTAATAATTAATACAGACCAAATAAAAATATATAAAAAACACTGAAATATCAAATACCTATAAATAAACAAAAAAATAGTTAAAACGTTTTAAAAATTGTATTTAAGACTATAAAAGGACAATTAATACAAGTATTTTTTGAAAACTTCAGGTCTCTACAATAATTTTTAACCGAATAACAACAAAAAATCCAAATGCCGTGCGTTACCGTATTTCTTACGTTTTTCCCGGTTTTTCGTAATTATTAGGAAAGCTATACAAAAAATTCAAACAACGATTTTCTACTAACAAACTAGACACAATTTTTTTTTCAGAAAAAATTTCTGGTAAAAATATATAATCGTAAAAATGTTAACTAATAAAATAGTTACGCATTATGAAAACTGCTTTAGATACCAAATAATAACGTTTTCTATTAGTGGCTATGATATTATTTGGAATAAAATCGATCGTTTGTTGTTTCATTTTTACCTTGTTCTAACTTTCGAGTACTGTTATACCTATACACAGTGGCAGCACGTGCTAAGGTGCGATGATGCAATCGCAATCCCTACGTAAATTTTAAAATAAAATAATAAATAGTAATCATTATAGTTTATATTTCTTTTAAAATAATAATTTAAATAATTCAAAAATGTGTTGGAAAATAATAATGTTTGCAAACGCCATAGGTAATATCCGGGATTGGTAAATTTGGTCCTAATGACCTAATCTCGGTAAATCGGAGCCCGGGAAAAAAACAGTATAATAGGTAAACTGAGTCCCAGCAAAAAATAAAATGTGTATTGTGTATACAAGTCAAATTTTATAATTGTGGTATAAATTGCATAAATAGTATAAATAATATTATAAATAAATAAACTAATCAATTTTATAGTATAAATTAAAAAAAAAATATATATATATATATATATGTTTTTTATAATATTTCGGTAAAAACTTAAATGATAAGGATTTAACAAACTCAAATCAGGTTATCGTATTAGTGGTGTATTTTGTCATTTTGTTCCCTTAAGCGTTGTTCTTTATCGAGCGTACTTTTCTTTTCCTGTTTTGTGCCTCGTAATTTTACACGCGTCTCTGATTGTACTTCTAATAGTTCGTCAACAAACCGTAGAACTCATTGATGTCCGGGCGGTGTACCGCTATATGCTCCCGGTAGTTTATGTAGTTAGGTAAGTGGGTTTATAGCCGGGACCCGACTTACTTACCCACCACGTTTTTATAACAGGGACTCAATTTACCGCTTTCAAAATGTACACACATTTTCGAGGAC